TTTTTTTTTCCTTCCCCTCCCTACTTCAAGGACTGCTGCTTGATGACTTAAAACAAAACAAAACAAAACAAAACAAAACACTGCCCTCTTCAGTCTGGTCCCACATGACATTTCTTTACTTTCCTTGTCTTCTCCTAGTTACTCTGAGTACTAGCTGCTTTTACATTCCTTATTTATGCCTTAGCTGCCATCTAGAATGCCCCATACCTATCTGTCTGTTTTGTATTAGTGACTTTCAGACTTCTTTTAAACTCAACTCCATATAAGAAATAGATATACACTGTGACCCAGCACTGTGTATGTGTATACATTATGATAATACATATTAAGTATAACAAAAGTCTATGAAATATATACCTACCTTTATTAAATGCAAGGTACTCAAATATTTTCTGTCCTATTTTCTTAAAAAAATGCTGGAATTGGCTTCAATATCCACTGGTGATTATGACCTACAGTTTGAAAAATATTCCTTTATAATATATCTGTAATGGATATTGTATTTTATGTTATATTTTTAGGTATGGGTATTCATTTAAAAAATATTTTATCTTTTCTCATTTTGAAATGTCATTTCGTTACAAGAAATGCTTATAAGCTATCTGGTTTCGAAAGGGCAGCTAAAATCTTTCTCTTGCTTTAAAGCTCTCTTTCTTGTTAATAGTTTTTGTTTTTGTTTTTTTTTTAACATTTACTTATTTTTGAGACAGAGACAGAGCATGAGCAGGGGAGGGTCAGAGAGAGAGGGAGACACAGAATCTGAAACAGGCTCCAGGCTCTGAGCTGTCAGCCCAGAGCCTGATGCGGGGCTTGAACTCACAGACCACGAGATCATGACCTGAGCCGAAGTTGGACGCCCAACCGACTGAGCCACCCAGGCGCCCCTCTTGTTAATAGTTTTTAAAAAACCCTGGCGTTTTGGGGGAGGGGATCAGCACTATCATGTAATTTATTTTTTTGCTATTAAGAAAACTACTAATTTTTTATTTAGCCATTTAAATGGGTATTTATTTAAATATATTATGTTCATGTTACATACTGTATAGTATGTTACATATCGTATAGTGTGTTATGTTTTTCAGATAATGTTACATGAACTATTTTTTTAGCTCTTTATGGCAGTTTTGTCTGGTAGCAAGGAAGTATTATCCTGATTTTACAGGTGAAGCTGAGCTCAGAAGAGGCTGAATGGCTTGCAGTTAAGCAGCAGAACCAGAACACAGGTCTAATAATAATGGATTTAT